AGATCCGTACTTTTTATCCATTAAACGTCCAGCTTAAACTTACCTCGGATCTCTGAAGCCCTGCTGTGGTTAGAAAATAACATGATGAGGAGTGCCAAGACCGGAACTCCAGGGCCGCCTTTTAAAACACGGTGATCTTGGGGAAGTCACTTTACCTCTTCAGCCCTTGGGTTTCTAGTCAATAAAGTGAGACGTTAGGAAGCATGTCTGAAGTAGGTTAGTCTCACCACTAGGGGGCAGGCAAATACAACCCCTGGTTGCTTCTGTATCTCACACAGGGTAAATAATGAAAAATTTTAATACAAACTTAAAAATTAAAAAAATTAAGTAAAACAAAATCCGATGTTTCTGATAGGGCCTTTGAGTACTCTCAACTCTAGCCCTTAATGTTGTTTGGGTTCAATGACATGCATTTCATGCCACAATAACGTCTAGCATTTATTGAGTGCTTACTGTGTGCAAGACACTGTGCAGTACGTGTTACCTCTAATCACCACGACAGCTGTAAAAGGTGGGCATTGTCCACATTCTACCCAGAAGGATCCTGAAGCTCACAGAGGTTATGTAGCTTGCCCAGTGATTACCCAGTTAGCAACTGGCAGAGCTAGGATGTAATGCAGATCAGACTGCTTCTAAGCCAGACTGCTCTTATTTTTTGCTGGTTCCTGGAGTTCCTCTTTCTCACAGCCCCCTGGGTGAATGCATATGGTCCACTCCATTGTTATAGTCATGAAGGATAATGCCATGGAAACATTTTCCTCTGTGTTTGAGTGATTCTGATATCATGAAATGATAGAAATTAAAATTATGTTAAATATTGTCATAACTTTACTTCTGGAATAGTATTTGATTAACTTGTACTGTCTCCATTCATCCTACAGAACTCAGGCCCACATTCCACACTCCTTTATCCTTCCTGGAGGCTGTTTTCTACCAGCGCTTCTCCTATTCTCTCTCTCTCTCTCTCTGCAGCTTACAGCTACAAATGCCCATAGGAATCAACAGAAACTCCTATCCAGTCTCTACTGTTTGCCATTTTCTCCTCCCCAACTCACCTTAGCTAAGGTTTTTGCATTGACCTGCAATTTCCAAGTACGTCAATGTATGTTTCTTGACAGTGTCCACCATTTGAAATATTCTTCTCTCATACTTGCCACATTCAGTTGCTTAGCGTGTTTAACATCAAATTCAAAATGTCTCCTCCAAACTACTTTCCTTGAATATTACTACCAAACTCTGAACATGGCTCTGCTTAACTTCGATTGTCTATTTTATTAATTTAATCACCTTGTATTTTGCCTCTCAGATCTCTCATGTGTTTACAGTGTATTCCTAACTAGATGCAAATTTCTTGAAATCACTGGTATTTGATTTCTTCAAGCATTTAGTTGAATATTAATAATAAAACACTGAGCTGGATTCCATTTCTGATTCTAATTAATGAGTCAGGGAGTCAATCAGGTGTATCATTTCATAGTTCAGTCATCAAATATTAAGTGCCCCTGGGGGATATTGTGGGATATGCCAGATTCAAGCTTTGTGCTTTAATGTGTGGTCTCAGAACATTCTCCCAAAAAACCCAGTGGAAAAAACACAATTGTTATCATTCCCAATTAACAAATGATATAGCTAAAAGCCCAGTCTTTCTTGTTCAAAGTCACAGTGCTGACCGGGTGGGATTTAAATCCAGGCAGTATGACCCCAGACAAAGCTCGTGCCTCTAATCACTCCCGTATCCCACCTAATACCCAGACTTTGGCACTGTTTTGCCTTGAGGTGGCAGAATTGGGGGCTAGGAGACAGTACAGGAATAACAATGGGGAAAGTCAGGAGAGTGGGACTGGGTGGCTGGGTGAAAGTCTGTGTATCCCACGGTGTGCCCCTCCCTGTAACCACAAACATCTTGAAGAAATCCATTCTGCCAAATTTCATGAAATACTTCAGAGCCAAGTCCTTACAGAAACTCTGGGAAAGTGCAAAGTAGCTCAAGAAGGTGTAAAAGTCTCGGTGAAAATTCTGATTTTATCTAGATTTCTAAAAGAACTGGGTGCCTCAGCTACTGTTTGACCAAAAGTTACTAGTCTGGTCAGCAGTCTCTGAAACTAAACCAAACCAAAGCAAAATACAAACATCAGGAAACCTGTATCACTTAGGACTAAAACTGACTCAATGAGAGAACATGTTTATGTCAAACAAAGGCAAGTTCCCAGCTGAGGATCACTAGGCTTCTGTGGTCTTCCCAAATCCACTGTGACATGGTCACTGTGAGGACTGCTTGCGGCCTTGGGAGTGCACAAAGACTGGTACTCTTCTTTATTCTGTCCTTTGTTTCTTGGCATCCGTGATAGTTGCTGCAGAATAGCAAGGTTATCACTCACAATGGCTACATGTCACTCACTCATTGCTCAGTACCAGTGTGAATATTGAAAATACGGAACAACTGGCCTTGCTGAGGTAGTGACCATCAGAACAGATGATTATTACAAACAACCCATGTAGACAATAAGGGCCAACTAATAGATTTGATTAGTCCAAGCAAGTGCTGTACTATTTCTCTGATTGCTAGCAAACAAAGAATAGGAGGGCTGCGGGCTGGACTTCAGGTGGCATGGAAGACTAGCATTGGCTGCTGACATTGGTAACTCTGGTAGGTTTTCAGAAAAATACCAGAGGATGATTAGACCCTATGGGACATTCCAGAAACAGAAGGTTAAGTAAGTGGTACCTAAACCTCTCTGATTATTGGAATTACCTCATGGGTTAAAAATAATATGGATCCTAGGCCCGCTCTAAGACCTGTTGAAACTTTAGTCATGAGAGATGAGAATTGCATTAAAAAGTAAAAATGCCCCAGGTGATTTTGGTAATCATCTTGAGGAATAATTTATTTGTGGACACATCTTATAATTGCTTGTTTTTGAAACTTCTGCTGTCCATTTTTTGGTGGAGATCCAGGACTGTTTTCTTGGTTACAAAGGTCGATTAGTTAAGCAAAGGAATAAGTGGACAAAGTGTTCAGAGGGATTGATAGCGTGTTTGCGTGTGTGTGCGCGCATGCGTGCACGTGAGTGTAATGCATTTGAAATATAACATAAGGTCTGTAATTAAGCCCAGTGAACATGTAGTATTTTAGGGTTTGGTTTTATTATGCATTTAATGTGTGAAATGCTAATAATGATAATATAATAAAAACGATCATACTCAGAACCCATCTCAACAGTGTCGATTATGCATCACTGCCAGGTGCATGGCTATCGTAGGGAGCTTCAGTTTCTTTTTTTCCTTCTAGATTAAGAGAATCGCAATTTATTTTCTTCTAAATGTAGTATCTTATAGACTTTTCAAATATTGAAAAAGACCAGTATAATTCACATAATGATGACTGCCCTCTCCCCAACTTTTCTATTGTAGGACAGTGATTTTTGAGTCCAGAGATTGGCCAGTAGGAAGCTATATTGAAATCAGCGCCGTGCCTGTAAGTTTGCTTCGGGATCACCTCAGTAAACTCTGGGACATATACTTCTTTCTTCAGAAAAATCAGGGTCCAGGCGCGGTGGCTCACACCTGTAATCCCGGCACTTTGGGAGGCTGAGACGGGTGGATCACGAGGTCAAGGGATCGAGACCATCCTGGTCAACAAGGTGAAACCTTATCTCTACTAAAAATACAAAAAATTAGCTGGGCATGGTGGGACGTGCCTTTAATCCTAGCTACTCGGGAGGCTGAGGCAGGAGAATTGCCTGAACCCAGGAGGCAGAGGTTGCCGTGAGCCGAGATCGCACCATTGCACTCCAACCTGAGTAACAAGAGTAAAACTCTGTCTCAAAAAAAAAAAAGAAAAAGAAAGAAAAATCAGTCATATTTTTCTGTCATGGAGCCAGTTGTAAGACAAAGGACTATGTAACTGGTTATAGCACAGTTTTTAAACTAAGTAAGGTATAATGTTCTTAATTGTCAGAAAGTGATAAAAAATAAATATAATGAGTAGAATATTCATTGTGTGCATCAGAGACTCTGATGCAGAGGAATCAGTGTTGGAGATTCTGCAATTGCTTTAAAAATAAACTCAAAATAAAAAAGCATAAAAGCTAGAAGTCCCCATTAGGTGTCTTTAAGTACTGGAATGGAAAGGATATAATAATTTTAAAAATCAAAATTCCTAATAAAAAGCATATTTTTACCTTGAGAAGTCTAAGTAAAATTATTTAATAGGCATTTATTGGGAAACAAAACTTTAAAAAGGTAGACACAGAAAGGTATAAATGGAAATAATAAAACTTTGAAAGCATAAAAGTGTTGAAAAGTGTGCTTCAAGATGTTCATTACCTAAAAAGAAACTGGATTCCTTGTATACAATTTTATTTTGTAACATAAACTTAATCGTATCATTTAGAATAGTGGGTCTCAACTTTCTGAAGGCACAAAGCTTAATTTATTTTTCAATAACCCCTATATAATAGTATTTATACTTTTATCATGGAATGATTGTGGCAATCCATAATTAGAAGACCGTAATGAATTTAATAGCACTTCAATATTGCCATTTCATAAATCAGAGCAGTACATATGAATTACATAAAATTTAAAATAGTAGCAGCTGTATGTGTAAGACATTTACATACAATCTACAGACATTGAGTATATGTGCTCTGAAAATAGGGATTATTTATCCCTTTTTATATCTCTCCAGATCTCCAGGGGACTCATGGCCCACATATTTGGGATCACTATAGAGTAAAAACAAGAATAATGAATCTCTCTCAGAGATGTGTCGTCAAAGGCCTCCAGGCTGAAATGTATTCTCTCCGACAGGCCTGCACTGAGCACCACTTACGTCTGATGGAGCCCATCTTGCTGACCTGGGTCCCTGACCACATGTGTCTGAACAGTATGATGTGGGAGAGGTCCGGAGAAGGGCAACCAGTTGCTAGTGCTAACTTAGGATTTGGGGCCAATCACTTTGTCTCCCGTTTTATTTGCAAAATTAGACTCCAGGCAGTTGGCCCTCTGCGCGCTGCGCCCGAAGCGGTGGTCGGTAGCTGTGGTGGTAGCGGCAGCGGTAACGGTTTCATGGGGGCCGCGCGCGGCTCCGTTAGCGGCCGGCAGCGGACAGGACCCGGCCCGGATGCCTGACATGTCCCCTCTCCCACAGAACCGCGCTCTCTGAAACAAAGACTCACTTTGAAGATGTTTAATAAATCATTTGGAACACCCTTTGGGGGTGGCACAGGTGACTTTGGAACAACTTCAACATTTGGACAGAATACTGGCTTTGGCACTACTAGTGGAGGGGCATTTGGAACATCTGCTTTTGGTTCTAGGAACAATACTGGAGGCCTATTTGGAAACTCACAGACTAAACCAGGAGGATTATTTGGAACCAATTCGTTTAGCCAGCCAGCTACCTCCGCAAGCACTGGCTTCGGGTTCGGTACATCAACAGGAACATCAAACAGCTTGATTGGAACTGCAAGCACAGGGACCAGTCTTTTCTCATCCCCAAACAATGCCTTTGCACAAAATAAACCAACTGGCTTTGGGAATTTGGGAACCAGTACTAGCAGGGGAGGACTCTTTGGAACTACAAATACCACCTTTAATCCTTTTGGCAGCACATCTGGCTCCCTCTTTGGGCCAAGTAGTTTTACAGCTGCTCCTACTGGGACTACTATTAAATTTAACCCTCCAACTGGTACAGATACTATGGTCAAAGCTGGAGTTAGCACTGACGTAAGTACCAAGCACCAGGGTATTACTGCTATGAAAGAATTTGAAAGCAAGTCACTAGAGGAACTTCGCTTAGAGGATTATCAGGCTAACAGGAAAGGCCCACAGAAGCAGGTGGGAGCCGGTACCACAACTGGCTGCTTTGGGTCTTCTCCAGCCACTTCCAGTGCAACAGGATTCTTCAGCTCCTCCACCACTAATTCAGGCTTTGCATATGGTCAGAACAAAACTGCCTTTGAAGCTGGTACAACTGGATTTGGAACAAATCCAGGTGGTCTCTTTGGCCAGCAGAATCAGCAGACTCCCAGTCTCTTCAGCAAACCATTTGGCCAGGCCACTACCACCCAGAACACTGTCTTTTCCTTTGGTAATACCAGCACCCTAGGACAGCCAAGCACCAACACCATGGGTTTATTTGGAGTAACTCAAGCCTCAGAGCCTGGAGGTCTTTTGGGGACAGCTCCAAACACCAGCACTGGGACAGCATTTGGAACAGGAACAGGTCTCTTTGGGCAGACAAATACTGCGTTTGGTGCTGTTGGTTCGACCCTGTTTGGCAATAACCAGCCTACTACATTTAGAAGCGGCGCAACCAGTACACCTTCATTTGGTGCAACCAGTGGCGGGCTCTTTGGTTTTGGCACAAATATCAGTGGGAATAGTATTTTTGGAAGTAAACCAGCACCTGGTACTCTTGGAACTGGGCTTGGTACAGGATTTGGAACAGCTCTTGGTGCTGGACAGGCATCTTTGTTTGGAAACAGCCAACCTAAAATTGAAGGGCCTCTTTGTACAGGAGCCTTTGGGGCCTCTGGATTTAATACTATGGCAGCCACTTTGGGCTTTGGAGCCCCTCAGGTCCCAGTAGCTTTGACAGATCCAAATGCTTCTGCTGCCCTGCAGGCTGTTCTCCAGCAGCACATCAACAGTCCAACATACTCACCTTTTGGAGACTCTCCTCTCTTCCAAAATCCCATGTCGGACCCTAAGAAGAAGGAAGAGAGATTGAAACCAACAGATCCAGCAGTCCAGAAGGCTCTTACTACACCTACTCGTTATAAACTGACACCCCGCCGTGCCACTAGAGTCCGGCCAAAGGCTTTACAAACAACAGGCACAGCCAAGTCGCATCTCTTTGATGGGCTAGATGATGATGAACCATCCCTAGCTAATGGAGCATTCGTGCCCAAGAAGAGCATTCAGAAGTTGGTTTTGAAGAACCTTAATAATAGCAGTCTCTTTTCTCCTGTTAATCGAGATTCAGAAAATCTAGCTTCACCATCGGGGTGTCCAGAAAATGGAGAGAGATTTTGTTTCCTGAGCAAACCTGTTGATGAGAATCACCAGCAGGATGGAGATGAAGATTCCCTTGTATCACATTTTTATACTAACCCTATTGCCAAACCTATTCCTCAAACCCCAGAAAGTGCTGGAAATAAACACAACAGCAGCAGTTTGGATGATACCATTGTTAAGTTAAACATGCGTGCTGCTTTGCGAAATTGGCTGGAAGGAAGCAGTGAAGAAACGTCTTTTCATGATGAGTCACTTCAGGATGACCGAGAAGAAATAGAAAATAATTCTTACCGTATGCATCCAGCAGGTATCGTTCTCACTAAGGTTGGTTACTATACTATTCCATCTATGGATGACCTTGCTAAAATTACCAATGAAAAAGGAGAGTGCATTGTCTCTAACTTCACTATTGGTCGGAAAGGTTATGGTTCAATCTATTTTAAAGGAGATGTGAATTTGACAAATCTAAATTTGGATGATATTGTGCATATCCGAAGGAAGGAAGTAGTTGTCTACGTAGATGATAACAAAAAACCACCTGTGGGTGAAGGACTAAATAGGAAGGCTGAAGTTACATTGGATGGAGTTTGGCCAACAGATAAAACATCTCGTTGTTTAATAAAGAACCCAGATCGCCTTGCTGTTCTCAACTATGAAGGAAGATTGGAAGCAGTTTCAAGGAAACAGGGAGCTAAGTTTAAAGAATACCGGCCTGAAACTGGTTCGTGGGTGTTTAAGGTCTCCCATTTTTCTAAGTATGGCCGTCAGGGTTCTGATGAGGAGGAGGAGGAGCATCCATCTAAAACTAGTACAAAGAAGTTGAAGACTGCTCCTTTGCCTCCTGCAGGGCAGACTGCCCCTTTCTAGATAGTTCTTAATGGCAAACCTGCACCTCCACCTCAGGTAGAGAAAGGACAGTGAATTTGAATGGAATCCATGATACAGAAGTTGAAAGCAAGTCATTCAGCTAATACAAAGCTGTTTTATGACGCTTGGAACTTTGAAGAGTACAAACATCGGCAGTCACATTGAAACAAGTACAAGGGAGGGCGTGAGGTCATGCAGGCATCTGTCTTTTTATTTGAGAGATTTAAAGAATTCTCTTGCTGTTTGGATCATTCCTTTACAGATTGTCATTCTTAAACCTTTTCTTCTCTCTCATTCGGACTTGCTGAATTCTCTGCTCATTGATTAAGATTTGCTCATGTGGGTTCATGCACAGTAAATTCTATGTCAGTTTAATCTTTTTCTTTACCTCCATGTTTTTTTAAAAGTTAAATTAGCTTTCTGGAAGGTTTTTTAATTTCCATTTTTTCAAGTTGTTTGCTTATACTTCATGTAACCTTGATATTTGTATTTTAATACATAGTCTTTAAGAAAATAGACAGTTTTGAGATGTAAATGAATTATTTGGCTTGGGGAGATCAGGGCCTGTATTGTTTATTGCAATTATTTGTAATATTGATATGGGATTTCTTTGTAAACCATCCTCTACCTCTCTGCTGTTGAAAGCTAGACCTTTGGAATTTTCCATGCTATAATTCTTATAGCTGCTGAAATGTGTGGTTTTTATGATTTATTAAATAATCTCCTAGGAGGCTTTTCTGGAAAAAAAAGACTCCAATGTTCTTTATTATACTATTATAGGATACTAAGAGGAATAAAGTTAATATGAAGGAACAATCAGAAAGCTTTGGCTGAAAAGAATTATTTAAACCACTGTAGAAAACTTGTCAAGTTATGAAGAAGGAAGTAGAACCAATATAAACTTGTGGGTTTTTCCATTTATGTAAATCAATGACAAGAGGTCTGGAATGTGCAATTGTCTTGCACATATTTTGTTCTTTCACAACAGATAGAAATAAAGGCACCCAGCCTGCAGGAGAAAGTTTGGAATCACAGGTCTGACATAACTCTGCTTGTTGTTTACTCTCTCCTGTGGCTAGCCTGACCTGTAAATCGCGATTTAGATTCCAGCTGAACCTCCTCCAGTGCCATGCAAGTACTCAGTGGTGTGTAAAAATTCTTTGGAAGTTACTTAGATGAATATATAATGACTTTTCATACATTCAAAATACGATTTCTTTATTTAACTCACAAGAGAGGAACTCTAATCATGGCAATATTAAGTGCTATAATGAACCACAGGGTAGCAGATGGGCCCTAGGGTAAACAGTTTCTGTACTATTGATTTACTTACTTGATTTCCTTGTAAAACGTTCGTGACCTGGACCATTGCTGTGGAATACAAATGCAGGTTTTCACAACAAGTCAGGCATGAAGATTATTTCTTTAAAAGAACCTGAGTGTTCTCCGGTAAGCCAAAGGAAGACTAGTTAGTGTCTTCTGCTCTGGAAATCAGTGTTTTGCAGTTTGATCAGGTTTGTTAGAATGATTTCTCTGTATGAATGATAGAGAATGATAGAGTGCCACAAATTCTATCAAGACACTGTCCATTTTAGAAACTTCTATTTAGAGCTCACTGTCTGCATGACATTCTGTTGTATATGTTTGTGACCTGAAGGTATTAAGATATGATTCTCTCCTGAAGGAAATATACAAAATGTACAATAGCTATATGATTACAGAAGACAGTCAAACATATAAGATGCAAACTTAAATGTCCCAGGGCCCAGGCAGATAATGTCACTGTGTTGAGCTGCCTGCTATATGACAATAAGGAGTGGTGGGGACTGTGCCCAACTGTAACATTAATTATCCTCATAAGCTCAAATTCATATTTTAAAAAAACTGCTCTGCTTGTCAAGGAAAAATATACATCGGGGCAACATTAATCCTATTGGACTCTTTTTGGGTGCACATACTCTTGTTCGAGTTTCTAACTGCCATGTGAAGTTGACTTAATTGACACAATTTTGCAGATAAGGTAGAGGCTCTACAAGGTCAAGGTCTTGACCAAGGTGACTTGATTAAGTAGGAGGGCAAAGATAAGAAGCTGAAATTCGGTGGACCCAATCCTGGTTATTTTAAATTATATATATATATATTTTATTGCACTTTAGGTTCTGGGGTACATGTGTAGAACAAGCAGGATTGTTGCATAGGTACATACATGGCAGTGTGTTTTGCTGCCTCCATCCCTGTCACCTATATCTGGCATTTCTCCCCATGTTAACCCTCCCCAACTCTCTACCATCTGCTGTCCCTCCCCTAGTCACCCCCAGCAGACCCAGTATGTGATGCTTCCTTTCCTGTGTTCATGTGATCTTATTGTTCAACACCTGCCTATGAGTGAGAACATGTGGTGTTTGATTTTCTGTTATTGGGTTTGCTGAGAGTGATGATTTCCAAATTCATCCATGTCTCTACAAAGGATATGAACTCATCCTTTTTTATGACTGCATAGTATTCCATGTTGTATATGTGCCACATTTTCCTTGTTCAGTCTATCATTGATGGGCATTTGGGTTGGTCCCAGGTCTTTGCTAATGTAAACAAACAGTGCCGCAATGAACATACATGTGCATGTGTCTTTACGATAGAACCATTTATAATCCTTTGGATGTATACCCAGTAATGGGATTGCTGGGTCAAATGTAAATTCTATTTCTAGGTCCTTGAGGAATTGCCACATTGTCTTTCACAGCGGTTGAACTAATTTACACTCCCATCAACAGTGTAAAAGTCTTCCTGTTTCTCCACATCCTCTCCAGCATCTGTTGTCTCCAGATTTTTTAATGATTGCCATTCTAACTGGTGTGAGATGGGATCTCAATGTGGTTATGATTTGCATTTCTCTAATGACCAGTGATGATGAGCATTTTTTCATGTTTGCTGGTCTCATAAATGTCTTCTTTTGAAAAGAGTCTGTTCACATCCTTTGCCCACTTTTGAATGAGTTTGTTTGTTTTTCCCTTGTAAATCTGTTTTACTTCTTTGTAGATTCTGGATATTAGCCCTTTGTCAGATGGGTAGATCGCAAAAATTTTTTCCCATTCTGTTGGTTGCCAGTTCACTCTAATGATTATTTCTTTTGCTCTGCAGAAGCTCTGGAGTTTAATTAGATCCCATTTGTCTATTTTGGCTTTTGTTGCCAATGCTTTTGGTGTTTTAGTCACAAAGTCCTTGCCTATGCCTATGTCCTGAATGGTTTTGCCTAGGTTTTCTTCTTGAGTTTTTATGATGTTAGGTCTTATGTTTAAGTCTTTAATTCATCTGGAGTTAATTTCAGTGTAAGGTGTCAGGAAGGGGTCTAGTTTCTGATTTCTGCACATGGCTAGCCAGTTTTCCCAACATCATTTATTAAACAGGGAATCCTTTCCCCATTGCTTGTTTTGTTGGGTTTGTCAAAGATCAGATGGTCATAGATGTGAGGCATTCCCTCTGAGGCCTCTGTTCTGTTCCATTGGTCTATATCTTTTGGTACCAGTACCATGCTGTTTTGATTACTGTAGCCTTATGGTATAGTTTGAAGTCAGGTAGCATGATGCTTCCAGCTTTGTTCTTTTTGCTTAAAATTGTCTTGGCTATGTGGGCTCTCTTTTGGTTCCATATAAATTTTAAGGTGTTTTTTTCCAGTTCTGTGAAGAGAGTCAGAGGTAGCTTGATGGGAATAGCAGTGAATCTATAAATTACTTTGGGCAGTGTGGCCATTTTCATGACATTGATTCTTCCTAACTATGAGCATGGAATGTTTTTCCATCTGTGTCCTCGCTTATTTCCTTGGGCAGTGGTTTGTAGTTCTCATTGAAGACGTGCTTTACATCCTTTGTTAGTTGTATTCCTAGATATTTTATTCTGTTTGTTGCAATTGTGAATGGCAGTTCATTTTTGATTTGGCTCTCTTTAAGTCTGTTATTGGTGTATAGGAATGCTTGTGATTTCTGCACATTGATTTTGTATCCTGAGACTTTGTTGAAGTTGCTTATCAATTTCAGGATATTTTGGGCTGAGATGATGGGGTCTTCTAAATACACAATCATGTCATCTGCAAATAGAGACAATTTGACTTCCTCCTTTCCTAATTGAATATTTTTTATTTCTTTTTCTTGCCTGATTGCTCTGGCTAGAACTTCCAATACTATATTGAATAGGAGTGGTGAGAGAGGGCATCTTTGTCTAGTGCCAGATTTCAAAGGGAATGCTTCCAGTTTCTGCACATTCAGTATGATATTGGCTGTGGGTTGTCATGAATAGCTTTTACTATTTTGAGCTATGTTCTGTAGATACCTAGTTTACTGAGAGTTTTTAGCATAAAGGGCTGTTGAATTTTGTGGAAGGCCTTCCCTGCATCTGTTGAGATAATTGTGGTTTTTGTCTTTGGTTCTGTTTATGTGGTGGATTACATTTATAGACTTGCCTATGTTGAACCAGCCTTGCATCCCCAGGATGAAGCCTACTTGATCGTGATGTATAAGCTTTTTAATGTGCTGTTGCAATTGGTTTGCCAATATTTTATTGAAGATTTTTGCATCTATGTTCATCATGGAAATTGGCCTGAAGTTTTTTTTTTTTGTTGAGTCTCTGCCAGGTTTTAGTATCAGGATGATGGTGGTCTCATAAAATGATTTTTGAAGGATTCCCTCTTATTGGATTATTTGGAATAGTTTCAGAAAAAGTGGTAGCAGCTCCTCTTTGTATGTCTGGTAGAATTCAGCTGTGAACCCATCTGGACCTGGACTCTTTTTGGTTGATAGGCTATTAATTGCTGCCTCAACTTCAGCCCTTGCTATTGGTCTATTCAGGGTTCAACTTCTTCCTGGTTTAGGCTTGGGAGGGTGCAAGTGTCCACAAATTTATCAATTTCTTCCAGGTTTACTGGTGTATATGCATAGAGTTGTTTGTAATAATATCTGATGATGGTTTGTATTTCTGTGGAATTGGTGGTGATATCCACTTTATTGTTTTTTATTGCATCTATTTGATTCTTCTCTCTTTTCTTTTTTATTAATCTGGCTAGCAGTCTGTGTATTTTGTTGATCATTTCAAAAAAACCAGCTCCTTGATTTATTGATTTTTTGAAGCATTTTTTGTGTCTCTTTCTCCATCAATTCTGCTCTTATCTTAGTTGTTTCTTGTCTTCTGCTAGCTTTTGAGTGTTTTTGATCTTGCTCCTCTAGGTCTTTCAATTTTGATGATAGGGTGTTGATTTTCAATCTTTCCTTGCTTTTTATGTGGCCATTTACTGCTATAAATTTTCTTCTAGACACTGCTTTAAATGTATCCTAGATATTTTGTACATCGTGTCTTCATTCTTGTTGGTTTTGAGGAACATCTTTATTTCTGCCTTCATTTCATTGTTTATCCAGTCAACATTCAAGAGCCAGTTGTTCAGTTTCCATGAAGTTGTGCAGTTCTGAGTTAGTTTCTTAATCCTGAGTTCTAATTTGATTGCACTGTGGTCTGAGAGACTGTTTGTTATGATTTCCATTCTTTTGCATTTGCTGAGGAATGATTTACTTCCAGTTATGTGGTCAATTTTAGAGTAGGTGTGATGTGGTACTGAGAAGAATGTATATTCTATGGATTTGGGGTGGAAAGTTCTGTAAATGTCTATTAGGTTTGCTTGATCTGGATCTGAGTTCAAGTCCTGGATATGCTTGTTAATTTTCTGTCTCATTGATCTGTCTAAAATTGACAGTGGAGTGGTACGGTTTTCCACTATTATTGTGTGGGAGTCTAAGTCTCTTTTAGGTCATTAAGAAATTGCTTTATGTATCTGGGGGCTCCTGTATTGGGTGCATATATATTTAGGATTGTTAGCTCTTCTTGTTGCATTGATCCTTTTACTATTATGTAATGCCCTTTTCTATCTCTTTTGATCTTTGTTGGTTTAAAGTCTATTTTCAAGATTGCAACTCCTGCTTTTATTTTGCTCTCCATTTGCTTGGTAAATCTTCCTCTATCCCTTTGTTTTGAGGCTATATGTATCCCTGCACATGAGATGGGTTTCCTGGATACAGCACAGGGATGAGTTTTGACTTTTTATCCAGTTTGCCAGTCTATGTCTTTTGATTGGGGCATTTTGCCCATTTACAATTAAGGTTAATATTGTTATGTGTGAATTTGATCCTGCCATTTTGATGCTAGCTGGTTGTTTTGCCCACCAGTTGATGCTGTTTTTTTCATGGTGTCAATGCTCTTTACCATTTAGTATGATTTTGGAGTGGCTAATACTGGTTGTTCCTTTCTATGGTTAGTGCTTCTTTCAGGAGCTCTTGTAAGGCAGGCCTGGTGTTGATGAAATCTCTGAGCAATTGCTAGGTCATAAAGGATTTTATTTCACTTCGCTTATGAAGCTTAGTTTGGCTGGATATGAAATTATAGGTTGAAAGTTCTTTTCTTTAAGGATGTTGAATATTGGCCCCCACTCTCTTCTGGCTTGTAGAGTTTCTGCTGAGAGATCTGCCATGAGTCTGATGGGCTTCACTTTGTGGGTAACCCAACCTTTCTTTATGGCTGCCCTTAGCATTTTTTCCTTCATTTCAACCCTAGTGAATATGATGATTATGTGCCTTGGGGTTGCTCTTCTTGAGGAATATCTTTGTGGTGTTCTCTGTATTTCCTGGACTTGAATATTGGCCTGCCTTGTTAGGTTGAGGAAGTCTCCTGCATAATATCCTGAAGGGTGTTTTCCAGCTTGGCTTTATTCTCTCCATCACTTTCAGGTACACTTATCAAATGTACATTAGGTCTTTTCACATAATTCCATATTTCTTGGAGGCTTTGTTCATTTACTTTCACTCTTTTTTCTCTAATCTTGCCTTCTTATTTTATTTCTTTGAGTTGATCTCCAGTCTCTGATATCCTTTCTTCTGTTTGGTCAATTCGGCTATTGAAACTTGTGTATGCTTTGCAAAGTTCTCGTGTTGTGTTTTTCAGCTCCATCAATTTATTTATATTCTTCTCTAAGCTGTTTATTCTTATTAGCATTTCATTAAACCTTTTTTTGAGGTTCTTAGCTTCTTTGCATTCGGTTAGAACATATTCTTTTAGCTCAGAGAAGTTTGTTATTACCCACTTTCTGAAGCCTGTTTCTGTTAATTCATCACACTCATTCTCCATCCAGCCTTGTTCCCTTTCTGGTGAGGAGTTGTGTCCCTTGGAGGAGGAGAGGTGTTCTGGTTTTGGGTGATTTCATCCTTTTTTTGTGCTGGTTTCTTTCCATCTTTCTTTTTGCACTGGTTTCTTCTCAGCCAGATATTAGCCTGAGCTCTCCTCTATGAGATGTCTCTTTGGATATATGGGGGTCGGGGAGCTGCCTGAGGAAACAGTCTGTCCCTTATAGGAGCTTAAGTGCTGAGCTGTGAGCTCCATTGTTCTGCTCAGAGCTGCTGAGCAGGTACATTTAAGTCTGCTGCAGCAGAACTCATAACTGCCTTTAATTCCCAGATGCTCTGTCCTGGAAGGTGGGGCTTTATTTATAAGTTCCTGATATGCTGCTGCCTTTTTTCAGAGATGCTCTGCCCAGCGAGGAGGTAGCCTAGTCACAGTCTGCCAGCACAGGAGTTGCTGAGCTGCAGTGGGCTCTGCCCAGCTGCTGTGAGCTTCCTTGCAGTTTTGTTTATAGAAATATAGTTAGAACTGTCTCAGTAATGGTGGTCTGCCTCAGTAATGGCAGACTATCTCTGTAATGGCGGACTGCCTTGGTAATGATGGACTGCCTCAGTAATGGTGGACAGCCTCGGTAATAGTGGACTGCCTCGGTAATATTGGACTGCCTCAGTAATGGTGAACTGCCTCGGTGGTGGTGGACTGCCTCGGTTATGGTGGATGCCCTTCCCCCAACAGAGCTGGACCATCCCAGGTCCAGCCATGCTTGCTGTGAAACTCTCAATCAACAGCATCACAGATTGCTGGTCTTTGTGGGGGTGGGACCCCCTGAGCCAGATCAGCTGACTCCCTGTTTCAGCCCCTTTTTAATTTCATTTGAATGGGTAACTCTGTCTCCCAGGCATTCCAGGTGCCAGTTGAAATGGCTGCTCAGATTTGTGTGAGTTTTTGTGTGGAGACCCACTGTACCAGCTGACTGGAGACTTGTGGTGCTTTTCCACTATGGAATCTCCTGGTCTGTAGGCAGTAAAAACTCCTTTGGAAATGCAGTGATCCCTCACCCTCTGAGTTCTCACTGGGAGCTGCACTCCAGAGCCATTCCTATTCAGCCATCTTGGATCATCTCCACCTGGTTATTTTTATGAAAAACTAGGAGAAGCAGGAAAAAGCCAGGAATGGTAACTAATTATTTTGCATTTACTCACTCTTTTGATATCTGACTCATCAT